CAGTGGTTCATCCCATCACCAGCATTTTGCCTTGAAACTGACCACCCCCAACATCCAAGAGATGATCAAGAGGAGGAAACTGAAAGAGATATCTTTAAGAATAATCACAAGACTGGCAACTATACAGCATAAAACGAGCCAATTCAGTCCATTTTGTCTGTGCTGACTCTTCAGTAAAGCCATCTAATCAGCATCACTTCAGGTCAAAGCCCTGTAAGTTTTCCCTATACAACTTTTCAATCCAATATAAAGGTGGACATACAGATGTAGATCAGCCCAATGATGAAAGGCCCCATAGAACTCATTATTTACTCAACAATCTGACAGAAAGGAAAGGAATGTTAAAACAAACTTCCAGCCCCTTACCCAAACATTCAAAATTATGATGGTATTGACAGGTAAATACTAACTGATCATAAGGGTCAGTAACCAGGGGGACAAAAAAAATTGAACATGATTGTGATTAACAGAGGAGCAAAACAGGATGCAACTTTCAAAAGAAATTGATAACTGGCTTGCAAATGCAACAGTGAACAGAGCAAATGAATCAAAAACATTCTGAAGAGCAGAACATAGGCAGGGTGGCCTACTGGCCTCTGGTAATGTACAATTCTACCAAACCTTCCACAGATCTCAAAATTTACACACTCTGATTCCATACCATTTATTTTGTTCATACTGTGCACTTACCACTCCAGGTGGACTGCAGTTTTGTTTTGCTTAACAATGGGTAATAATGATCAAAGAAGTGCCATGACAAGCCAGTCATTTCTTTTTGCCCAAGTTTAACACATTTTGAATGAGCCAGGGACTTACTGTATCTTGTAAGTGAGCAACCCACACAAAACTAAGCACACTGTTCTGGAAACTCTTGGTGCCTGATAACACTCCATATTCTCCTCTACTGTAGAAAAAGGAGAATTTTGTCTTAAATAACACAGGAACTAGGGAAGGTGAGGGCCCAGTGGTATTATCATGGGACTGTTAATCCAGAGACCCAGTTAAAGTTCTGGGGACCTGGGTTTGAATCTCACTACAGCAGATGGTGGAATTTGAATTCCATTTTAAAATCTGGAATTAAGGGTCTAATGATGACCTTGTTGTTGACGGTCAGGAAAAACCCATCTGGTTCACTCATGTCCTTTAGGGAAGGAAACGGCCATCCTTACACGGTCTGGCCTACATGTGACTCCAGACCCACAGTGAAGTGGTTGACTCTGAACTGCCCTCGGGCAATTTAGGGTTGGGCAATAAATGCTGCCTGGCCAGTAATGCCCTCATCCTGTTAGTGAATAAATTGAAAAAAAGAATTGGGGGGGGGGGGGGGGTGGGTGGGGCAGCATGGTGGTTCAGTGGTTAGCACTGCTGCCTCACAGCACCAGGGACACAGGTTCGATTCCACCCTCAGGCAACTGTCTGTGTGGAGTTTCCACATTTTCCCCATTGTCTGCGTGGGTTTCCTCCGGGTGCTCCAGTTTCCTCCCACAGTCCAAAGGTGTGGTGGATTGGCAATACTAAATTGCCCATGGTGTTCAGGAACATGTAGATTAGGTGGGTTATACGGGGACGGGTCTGGGTGGGATTCTCCGAGGGTCAGTGTGGGCTTGTTGGGCTGGTTGGGCTGAAGGGCCTGTTTCCACACTGTAGGGATTCTATTGCGATACTGAAGGGATGCTGCACTCGTAAATGTTCTGGCTTTCAAACAAGATATTAAACCATCTTCCTAACTGCCCTCAGGCAAAGTGAAGGATTCCATTGCACTGTTTTGAAGAAGCACATGGAGGAGTGCCCTGGCATGTGAGGCAGCATGTATAATAACCCCATCTCTTGGGGAAAGTCAGTTATCTCTTTGCTATCTGCTTGTACAGCATTCTTGAGCCAGAATTTCTGACATTGAGGCAGTAACAGGGAGGTGATGGCTCACGCATATCATTGCTCAACTGTTAACCCAAAGGCCCAGATAATGTTTTGGGAACCCAGGTTCAAATCCCACCATGGCACCCAGCGGAATTGGAATTCAATAGAAAAACGATCTGGAAAACAAAAAGAATCTAATGATGGCCATGAACTCGTTTTGATTATCAGAAAGACCCATTTGATTCACTAATGTCCTTTAGGGAAGGAAACTGCTATCTTGACCTGGTCTGGCCTATGTGTGACTCCAGACCCACAGCAGTGTGGTTGATTCTGAACTGCCCTCTGGGCAATTAGGGATGGGCAACAAGTGCTACTCTAGCCAGTGATATCCACACCCAATGAATGAATTAAAAAGAAAATGTCCTCCAATGTTTCGTTGTTGGCAAAGCATTTTGGGGCTGTGGGGAGCATAGGGGAGAGAAATTGTGAAAGGTGCTATATAAATGAAAATCCTGTTTCAGAAGGCATTGACTCAGACTGGGAGAACAATTCCACATCTACTGAACATCCTCAGCTAGACAAGGACCCTTGTTGGATTCTCACTACAACAGCAAATACCGCTCTCGATGAGATGTTATAACTGACCTTTGTCTGGTCCAGTTCCTTCCTCTCTCTTTCAACGGGACACAATGGAGAAATAAATAAATTAATTAATTAATTATTAAAAAAATCACAATGCAGTAATAGAAGAAGCGCGAGCTAACTGTATTCCCTTATTGAAAGGGAGACTGAGCATGCCACTGACAGAACCTTTGCTGTCATTCTGAGATAGTCACCTTACTCCATGCACCCTTATGAAAAACTCTTGGATCTCAATCAAAACATTAAGTGAACTTGTACAGCAAACATCCTCAACATTCATAGTTCAAAAAACTTTGTAACCGAGTAGAAGGCAGTGCTTCCTAAAATTACAACAATATTTCACCTCCCTAACACTAACCTAACCCATAAACCTCCTATTAATTTGCACCTACAATCTCCAATTAATGCACTTCAAAACCTGCTGGTGCTTTCTAAGTTCCTCCATGGATTGGGTAGCCTAGCCTATCTGAGCAATTTACTCCAACATGCTGTTCACTGTATTGGTCACTGCCCCTTCCTTCACCCACACATGCACAGGAGATGGATGGTTCACTCATTGTGCCATCTCCTCTCAATTCACTCCCCAATCCAAACTGCCTTGTCTCCATGGCTACTTTCAGACCTGGCCTTTGAACTTTTCATTTCCAAACCACCCAACACTACTACCACCACCATGCCACCTCCGTGCCTGTTTTGTTCAGCACTGCCTTATAAAGGAGCAGTGCTGTATAAATGCAGGTACCTACCTGAAGCAAACTATCAGTGTGTTTCATTGCAGTGAACAATTTATACTGACGGCTCAAGCGCAGACTTATTATCGATCAACTGCCTCTTTGTACAAGGTATCTGAGCACGAAGCATCTTTCAACTTTAACATGGCATTTCTTTTTCACAGAATCATACAGTAAAGAGGCCTTTCAGCCCATCAGGTCTGTACCACCAAGCTCTTTGCCTCCTTTGCTTCTCTTTGTAATTCCTCAATAGTTGGAGTCTCTCAACACCAAATCTGTAGTCTTAGTGGATAATTGATGGGTCTGAACATAGTTAACCATTATACATTTATAGCCTTAATTCACTGTATGGGGAAAGAGAAAGAGGTAATCATCCAGGTGTTACTACAGAGTATCCAAAGTCCTCTAGAAAAATGCCACTTTACACCCTTATCCCCCTCAAAAATAATCACAATTCAGAAACTTTCCTCAAATAAAAACAGCAAGTGCTTTGCTAGTTGACAAAATTCTAGGTTTAACTAGGTAGAGTTCTGAGGAGTCATACCACACTCTAGACATCAACCATTTCTCTTCCTCTCTCCACAGATGCTGCCAGACCTGCCGAGTTTCTCCAGCAATCGCTGCTGTTGTTTCCGACCACCAGAACCTGCAGTCCTTGGAGTACTTTTCTCCCCCTCTTCAAACAAACATCAACCATCTCTCTCTCTCTCTCCCCACAGATGCTGCCAGACCTTGTTGAGTCTCTCCAGCAATCTGTTTATCCAACTAGGTTTAGACCAGTTTTCTCGGGCACCATGAACACCCCACCAGCCTGTCCTTCCAGCCACTTCTCTCCAGTATTTTGTCTTATTTCTTCACCACTCTCCTACTCACTAGTGAGTTTCACATTCTCACCGCCTTGCAGGTGAGGGAAATTCTGCTGAATTCACTGCTGGGATCTCTATCCCCTGTTATTTGTTAAATAGTGCATCCACAATGGGCTACAGGATCAGACCAATTTCCTACAGGTAAGTCTGGATCTTACCAGTAAGTGGGAAGCATCCAGTTTCCGACTGACCTGCCCAACCCGGAGCTTGTATACATGAACAAACAGCATCATTGCAGCTGTTAGTTATTTCCTGGGAAAAAAAATACCATCCTTACTGAGAGCAGAGAGAGAGAGAGAAAGGTTTCTACCGTTACTCTGGATAAACTACCAGAGCTCTCAAGACTAGAAAAAAAATGCCCTTTTCTTAAAAAAAAACTGAGCTGCCGCGCCCTAGTTTGAATCAAAATTAAGGAGTTACTGAATTCGAAACGTCAGCTCTGCTTTCTCTCCACAGCTGGTGCCAGACCTGCTGAGTTCCTCCAGCAATTTCTATTTTTGTTTCTGATTTCTGAAATTTTGTTCTATTATGCCACTAAAATATGTTTATTGCACCAAACGGTCCTACAGACAAGCAGAGTATATATGTATTTCCCACACCGCACACAAACTCCTTTGCAAAAGATATTCTTAAACCATTTCCCTGTTTTGAGAAGGCACATTAAGTGTCACTAGCTTTGATTGTCTTAAACCTATGCTGCAGAGATGGAGATGCAACTTGGCTTATCGTGAAGAAAAGACGGATGAAAAATTCTTCCCTCGACTATCATGAGCTGACACATGTCCTTTCATTCCCCAGCTGAAATTAACTAAAACACGTGGAGTGCATTTGCTTTATCTCTCAGCGTGGTTAAAAAGAACTAATCCAAAAAATAAAAATATATATATATACTAATGCCGCTTACCACACGGCTGCAGATGAAACACTCGCGTAGAGTCCATCGCTGCTGTCTCTGTGTTTTAGAGATACAGAGCTGCCTCGGTCTAGCTCCAAACGCCGCTTTTTAAAACAGGAGACCCACACAGAAGCGAAACCGATCCAGCAAGGCGAGCCCAAGAAACGCCTAGGGGTCCCGACCTCCGCCTTTTTTTTAATTAACAAACCACCCCCACCCCCAAAAAAAGTTTTGTTTTAATCAAGAGAAATTTAAAACACCCACGTGTAACACAGCGGATTGCGATGAAATCAGCACAATTTTAAAATAACAAAAAAATTAATGGAAGCAAAAATGTTCAACTCTACTATACACACACCCCTTCCCAAAAAAAAGTTTGTCGTAATTCTATTTTTATTTCTGTTAATTTCACAAACAAACGTAAACTTCCGGGATCAAGAAATTGTGGATTTTTTTTTGAAATTGTCATTCGTGGTGGCTCGCCACGTTTTCCTTCCCCTCAATCCGTGCATCTGAGGAGCCTGTGTTAGGAAGTACAGGTAGCTGAGTAAGTGAGGGGCAATATTTAAAAGTTTTGTTCCCTGCATTGAGACCCTGTTTCTTGGGTCTGTTTCCAGCACACCTCAGTCACACTGACATTGCTTTGAACTGGGACAGTGAGTAAAGGTCAAACAAGCACTGGGATGCAGTCTGACAAGAGCATCAGAAGACAAAACGTGTAGATGTTTTTACTTTACGAGTAATCGGCAAAAGATACACCAGGAAATAAACAAAGCAGTTAATGTGAGGGAAGAGGTCACACGTGCAACACATCAGCATAAACTATATGTACAACGTATTAATGAAGGTCCAGCTCAAGCTGTGGACACTACACAGGCAATCTGCAAGGGATTTTCTAATTGATGTGTTCAGAGATGTTACACTTGAACTCGGATCTCCTGGCTCAATCGTAGGGTCACTATCACTGCACCACAAAGCATCCTTCAACCTGCGAGTATTTTTAATTTTAAAAAGTCCAAACTGTTGATGCTGGAAATAAGAAAAAGATTGCTGGAGAAGCTCAGCAGATCTGGCAAGAGAAAGCAAAAGTTAAAGTTTTGGGTTTAGTGACCCTTTAGTACTTGTAATCAGCCTATTCAGAAATGTTATTACACACCACCATGACAGAATAGGACTTAAACTCAGGCCTTCTGGCTCCGGAGGCATGGACACTACGACTGTACCACAGGAACAGCCACTCTGCCCACCACAAACTCCAAGTGTTAACAAGTTAACTGAAGTCACATGGTGATCAATTAATGGGACACTTATATCAAGATTATTTCATTTGAGACTCATTAAAAAAACTTTGAGTGGTGATTTATGAGACATTTTACAACATTTCAAACAACAAAGGAATGAATTGTCAAAGAAAGTGAGGTGTGTTAATAGTGTTCTCTTTATTTAGCAGCCTCTTTGACTGTCATAGAACCATTGAGTTTTTGCAGCACAAGAGGAGGCCCTTTGGTCCATCATGTCTATGCCAGCCATCAAATATCCATTTTTCGAATCCTATTTTCCAGCACTTAACCAGTAGCCTTGTATGATATGGCATTTTAAGAGTTCATCTGAATAGTTCTTAAATGTTTTGAGAGTTCCCGCTTTTACCACCCTGTCAGGCAGCAAGCTCCAGAATCCCACAGAGTAAAAATAAATCACTCAAATCCCCTCTAAACCTCCTGTCTTTACCTCCTACCCACACAGATTCTATGCTTTCTGACCCTATATCACTTCTTGCTATCATTTTAATTTCATTCCTTACTAGGAAGGCAATCCACCTCCTCTGCCCATCCTTTCAATGGGACGTGTGTCCTTGGATATTTAGGTTTCTTTTTATTCATGAGATGAGGGTGTCACTGGCTAGGCCAGCATTTGTTGCCCATCCTTAATTGCCCAGAGGGTAGGCCATTTCAGAGGGCACTGTAGAAACAATCGCATTGCTGTGGGTCTGGAGTAACGTGTGGGCCAGACCAGGTAAAGATGGCAATAAAAACCGAAAGAACTGCAGATGCTGTAAATCAGGAACAAAAACGGAAGTTGCTGGAAAAGCTCAACAGGTCTGGCAGCATCTGTGAAGAAAAAATCAAAGTTAATGTTTCAGTGACCCTTCCTCAGAAGATGGCAGTTTCCTTCCCTAAAGGACAGTAGTGAACCAGATGGGTTTTTCCATCAATTGACAATAGATTCATGGTCATCATTAGATTCTTAATTTCAGATTTTTATTGAATTCAAATTCCACTTTCTGCCATGATAGGATCTGATCCCAGGCCTACCAGGATATTAATAATCTCATGATAATACCACTTGGCCATCAGATAGCAACATTTCTGTATGTAGAAGTTATCAAGTTTGGTCTCAAATACAAAATCCCCACTTTGAAACATTTAGGGGTATTTTGGTACTATCACTAATTCTGGACCGGAAGGTCCAGTTTCGAGTCTCACTGGCCATAGATATGTAATCAGATGTGAGCAAACAGGTTGATTAGAGATTGTATTAGCCACTTCCAGCGTCAATACTGTTAGGAGCTGTACAATTGCAATGAACTTCATGAATAAGTCCAAAACAGAGTGAAGATGGACTTCTATTCTCCTCCTTCACCAATTCGCTGGCTGTAAGGAGACAGGCCATTTATAAGAACTAGGAGCAGGAGTAGGCCATCTGGCCCCTCGAGCCTGACCTGCCATTTAATAACATCATGGCTGATCTTTGAGACTCAGCTCCACTTACCCACCCACTCACCACAACCCTTAATTCCTTTACTGTTCAAAAATTTATCTAGCCTTGCCTTAAAAACATTCAGCGAGGTAGCTTCAACCGCTTCACTGGGCAGGGAATTCCACAGATTCACAACCCTTTGGGTGAAGAAGTTCCTCCTGACCTCAGTCCTACATCTGCTTCCCTTTATTTTAAGGCGATGCCGTCTAGTCCTAGTTTCACCTGCTAGCGGAAACAACCTCCCTGCCTCCACCTTATCTATTCCCTTCATAATCTTATATGTTTCTATAAGATCTCCCCTCATTCTTCTGAATTCCAATGAGTATAATCCCAGTCTACTCAGTCTCTCCTCATAATCCAACCCTTTCAACTCTGGAATCAACCGAGTGAATCTCCTCTGCACCCCCTCCAGTGCTAGTATATCTCTTCTCAAGAAAGGAGACCGAAACTGCACACAGTACTCCAGGTGTGGCCTCACCAGGACCCTATACAGCTGCAGCATAGCCTCCCTGTTTTTAAACTCCATCCCTCGAGCAATGGCAGACAAAATTCCATTTACCTTTTTAATTACCTGCTGCACCTGCAATCCTACTTTTAGCGATTCATGCACAAGGACACCCAAGTCCCTCTGCACAGCAGCGTGCTGCAATTTTTTACCATTTAAAACATAGTCCATTTTGCTGTTATTCCTACAAAAATGGATAACCTCACACTTATCAACATTGTACTCCATCTGCCAGACCTTTGTCCACTCAATTAGACTATCTATATCCCTCTGCAGACTTTCAGTGTCTTCTACACACTTTGCTCTACCATTCACCTTCGTGTCATCTGCAAATTTTGACACACCACACTTAGTCCCCAACTCCAAATCATCTATGTAAATTGTAAACAATTGAGGTCCCAACACTGATCCCTGAGGCACACCACTAGCCACTGACCACCAGCCAGAAAAACACCCATTTACCCCTACTCTTTGCTTTCTACTGGTCAACCAATCCTCTATCCATGCCAATACATTACCTGTAATACCGTGCAACTTTATCTTATGTAGCAGCCTTTGGTGTGGCACCTTGTCAAATGCCTTCTGGAAATCCAGATACACCACATCCACAGTTCCCCATTGTCCACCATGCAAGTAACGTCCTCAAAGAATTCCACCAAATTAGTTAAACATGACCTACCCTTTTATCCAGATGTCTTGCTATTTCTTCCTTAATGATAGATTCAAGCATTTTCCCCACTACCGAAGTTAAGCTAACTGGCCTATAGTTACCTGCTTTTTGTCTACTTCCTTTTTTAAACAGTGGTGTCACATTGGCTGTTTTCCAATCTGCGGGAACCACCCCAGAGTCCAGTGAATCTTGGTAAATAATTACTAGTGCATTTGCTATTTCCCCCATCACCTTTTTTAGTACCCTGGGATGCATTTCATCAGGGCCAGGAGACTTGTCTACCTTTAGCCCCATTAGCTTGCCCAGCACTGCCTCCTTAGTGATAATGATAGTTTCTAGGTCCTTCCCTGCTATAACCTTCTTGCTATTAGTTTTCGGCATGTTATTTGTGTCTTCCACTGTGAAGACCGACACGAAATAACTGTTTAATGTCTCGGCTATTTCCTCATTCCCAGTTATTAAATTGGCCTTCTCATCCTCTAAAGGACCAATGTTTACCTTTGCCACTCTTTTACGATTTACATATTTATAGAAACTTTTGCTATCTGGTTTTATATTCTGAGCTAATTTACTCTCATAATCTATTTTACTTTTCTTTATAATTTTTTTTGTGGCTTTCTGTTGGCCTTTAAAGATTTCCCAGTCTACTAGTTTCCCACTATTCTTTGCTTTTTTGTATGTGGTTTTTTTCAATCTGATACTTTCCTTTATTTCCTTAGACATCCATGGCTGGATCTCTCTTTTTCTACAGTTCTTCCTTATCACTGGAATATACTTCTGCTGAGCACTGTGAAAAATCATTTTGAAAGTCCTCCACTGTTCCTCAATTGACACACCATAAAGTTTTTGCTCCCATTCTACCTTAGCTAACTCCTCCCTCATTCCTTCATAGTCTCCTTTGTTTAAGCACAGGACACAGGTACTGGATTTAACCTTCTCACACTCCATCTGTATTTTAAATTCGACCATACTGTGATCACTCCTTCCGAGAGGATCCCTAACTGTGAGATCATTAATTATTCCTGTCTTATTACACAGGACTAGATCTGGGATTGCTTGCTCCCTCGTAGGTTCCATTACATACTGTTCAAGGAAGTTATCGCGGATGCATTCTGTGAACCCCTCCTCAAGGCTGCCATGACCGACCTGGTTTGACCAATTGATATGTAAATTAAAATCCCCCATGATAATTGCTGTACCATTTTTACATGCATTAGCTATTTCTACGTTTATTGCCCGCCCCACCATAATGTCGTTATTTGGTGGCCTATAGACCACACCTATCAG